CCTCGGGTTCTACCTCCTCTGGTTCCTCCTCGGGAATTGGTTCTAAATCTATATCCATCGAGTCGCCTTCAGCCTACGATGCTTCGGGTGCAGGTTCGTACTCCGCCCCGGAAGATTCTTGAGCTGCGGGCGCTGGATGTAAACCAGACTGAGCTAAACTGACCTCTGTACTTGTCAACTCTCCATCTATCGGAGGTATGGCAGACGGGTCCCAATCCCCAACTAAGTCAAACGGAACATCAAAACCCCTAATGGGCCCGAACTCATCCCCATCTACATCCCGGAAGAACCAGGCGGTATAAACATGAGTCTCCCATAAAGGTAGTCCTACCTCTACAAAAACAGTCGTGGTATGCTTAATCCAGGTCATTCCATCACCCATAGGAAATTCTGCAACCTCAAACTCGGTGTGCACTGGTACCCCAAAACGCTCTGGTGGCGGTGGCGGAGGATTCATGGCTCAGGTCGGGGTTCTGAAAAATGTTGGTTGAAACAACCATGGGACTACATCTCAGTAAGTACACCCCTAAACCCCACCTAGGCTATCACGTACCTCCAGACAATCACACAAACACAAACACAATCATATACGTGCAATCACATGCAGGTACGATTCTAATTTCATGCATTCATTTCATTCTCATCATATCCTTTCCCCATCTCTCGCCAGTGACCCGCGTTGAAGTACACGCCTCAGGTACACTGCGACCTCTTATCACAACACTTCAGGGCCCGCGTTAACGTACACGCCTCAGGCCATGTTTCTTGCCCGCGTTGAAGTACACCCCTCAGGCTCAACACCTACCACCTACTGCGCAACCCACGTTGAAGTACACGCCTCAGGCTGGCAGTCTTCCGATAGTACCGGGCATCGTCCCGCGTTAAAGTACACGCCTCAGGACGACACAACTTTCACGAACACACGTCATACTACATTTCTTTCTCACATATGCACATGCTCAATAAGCATTTACTGCACTTAACTGGCCAATCACACATGGCCCGTGCACGCATCAATTGACACACAAAACATGCTCACCAAGCATTTGACATGGCCAATTTTAATAATTAAATTAGTCTGGCCCAAGCGTGCACCCAGCAGGCATATTTCAATCATGTGATTACACAATCATGCACTCAATTTCATCACCTCAACCCAGTCATAGTTCCAACACACATTAAACACACAATTTGCCATTTTTCTCCAACCAAATAGCGTCAAATCAATTTCGGTCATTCACGACACTTTCTCACCATTAATTGCCGGTTCTAAAAATCCAATTTGCGTCCCGATCGGCCCATCACAGCCCATCAAACAGCCAAACACAGCCAACAATCAGCCCCTAAAAATCCACCGAACTCATCCGATTTTTATCCTAAGGCCCGCAAATTATTTCTGCTCCGAAAATTATACAATTTCGCACCTAATAAACTCGATCTCACCCGAAAATCATCCGTCGATACCCGACGTCCTAGCTAAGGTTTAGAGCGCGACTTACCGAGTTCTAGACTTACGCGGCTAGAACGGAGTGCGGCGGTGAACGGCGGGGACGGCAGCGATCCGGCGGCGCGGCTTGCTCGGCGACGGCGCGGCGTGGCTTGCTCGGCCTAGACCCATGGCCACACGGGGAGAGAGAGAGAAGGGGAGGAACGGCGGCGAACGGTGGGGTGGTGACCGGCGGGCGTATGGACGGTGGCGGTGGTGTGGCGTGGCTTGGCGGGCGGTGGACGGTGGCGCCGGTGTACGGCCAAGGGAGAGAGAGAGAGATTTCGGTGAGGGGGGGGAAGGTGAGCCGAAGAGAGGAGAGAGAGAAATGAAGAGACAGAGAGGTTGATCTTGACTCAAATAGTGCACTTTAGACCAAAATGGCAAATGACCAAAATACCCCTCTATCACATTTTTTATCCAACGGTCCAGATTCGATCTAATCTTGAAACCGACGGCCCAGATCAAATCTCATCCAAAATATCAAAGGGCAATCTTGTAATTTCTCAAAAAGTTCAAGGGCAAAAGTGTCTTTTCCAAACTTTGGGGCAAAATTACCAAAATGCCCTTTGCCCATAAAACTAACCCTTTATTAATTCCCAAGGGTAAAATGGTCACTTTCTTATTTTCTCATCAAAAATGAATTTTTCTGAAGGATTCAGGCACATCCAAAATTGCACGTTACAACCGCAACGTCGTCCTAACGTCCCGTTCTGACTTCCTAATTTTCCGATGTCCAATTTGGGCTAAATTAAATAATTAAATTTTATTAAACGCAACTCGAGCGTTTCCCAAACTAACGGGCGGCTTGTTGGGGAAATTCGCATATTCGACCCGTGACTGACACTAAATCGAGTCACGTGCAAGTTCGTTCGGTACGTGACGACCTCGATTGTCATTAAAATTGCGAAGATCAATCACTAGATCCGAGGGGCACGATCGTTTGGTATAGGTTCAGGATCATTCGTCAAGTCATTTCGTGGTCCGGCGGAATCACCCGCGATCCACTATTATGACAGTGGCGAACTGACCCCTGACTATCCTCGGATCGGCCAACAGTGGCTCAAAATATCACCTCAGCGATTTTATGGTCGAAAATCAATTCACCATCGAATTTTCTCTTAGTCGCGCGAATTTAATTCCCCAATTAGCCTTTCCCTATTGGTTAGCATCCCAGGAATGATCAGTTCCGGGCGAGAATTTACTACGAGTACATTTCATAAAACTCAGTATTTTACAAATTTCAAATGGACTAATTTTTAGGATGTCACAGTCTTCCTAGAATCTATTGAAGTTCCTTTCCTGTTAGGTCTTTTTTCACTTTTGCTTCACTTTCCTTTCCAGACAAAAAAGCAACGTGATATCCAGTAAAGTCTCCGGGGATGCTCATGTGAAAAGCACCCAAAAATTGAATGGATGAGAGAGTGGTGTAGCATTATCCCGAGAAAACATCATTACTACTTCAATACTTTTGACATATGTATGTGACTTTACCGGAAAATTTATTGAAAAAGTCTTAAATTTATTATACGGTGGCCAATTCAATTCTAAACTTTTTAATTTAGGCAATATAGTCTCAAACTTTTTGACAATTGGCCAATATAATCCTTTTTGGCCGGAAATGCTGAATTGGCGATCATGCCACGTAGAATGGCCGGCATCCACATTAACTATTTTCAACCAAAATTGGCCGGAAAAACTACGTTGGCAAATCGTTAAAAGGTTTAGAACTAAATTGGCCAATTGAAAAGTTTAGGACTAAATTGGCTTATAGTACAATAGGTTTAGGATATTTAGGACAATTATCCCATGACTTGCCCTGTAATAATACATGACGAAGAAAATTAGGGAATATTTATTGGCTTAAAAAAAATATACAACCTGTTATCTACAAAAAAGACTATTAGGCAAATTAGTTGTAATTGGTAGACCAGCCAGATAAATAAAGAACATATATGTGTGCCAATGTCTTCAAATCAATAAAAGAAATCGTAGTAAAGTTTATATTATGTATGCCTGAACAGTTACATGCAATAATAATATTATTTATTAACATAATGTCCAGCCGACAGAAAATCAAGTAAATACAAAAATTCTATCCTCAATCAAAATTTTGATAATCCATTATAATATTTCGAGTGGAAGAAAAGAAGATTCTGAGGCTTAAATATATATATTAAATCTCCAATTACATGCACGTGTGTACCAAACTACCTGAGCATATACTTTTGTTGATTTGGGTGAGGAGATCAAAGGGAAAGCAATGGAATTGGCCAAAAAAGGGGGGCAAGAACAATACCTTATTTTTCGAATTTTTGCGATCAAAATTTTTCGAGAAGAAAATCTAAAGAAATCAACATCGAGAACTTCATAGTCTCCAAGTGTGCTGGACATTTAGCCACTGAAATCTTTTGCAATGGCGTGAGATTAACAAAACTTTTTCCTTTTCACTTTTACATGAAAGAACGACAAATCTAAATATAGAAATTATTAAAGTGAGATCAAGCGGTGAATCGAGAGGATGAGTTCAGAGGAGAAATATCACATAAACAAAGTATGTTTGAATCTGGATCAATCAACATATGATAAATTCTTGGATATTGACACGCAAGTATCCGAACTATTACTCTTTTTTGTAATCAAGTGTCTAAAGTTCTTTTTTTTGTTCAATAGGTCAAGGCCTTCGTCAGAACCGTAGACGGAAGATGTTGATAGGATGATAACGCTGTTAAATAGCCATTAACTGTCCACATTGGCGTCCAATATGATTTTGCTAGATGTTGCACATTAGCAGATACATATTGGATACTAAGATCATTTAAGTAAATTAACACACACTCTCTTTGTCTCTCCTCATCACCCAATCCGCAAGTTAAGTGAGCCACGTCAATTGTTCTGCTTAATTTCTGTTGAGTAAGCAAGTCATGTCAACAAAATTACATAACATGACAATTTATTTAGCCGATGCCTTCAATTGAGCGAAATTTGAAAAATTGAGGTACTTCATTGAACAAAAAAAAAGTTTAGAAGATGAACAAAAGTTTAGGTACTCACGGTATGATTAGCCCTAACTCCTAAACCGCTCTAAGAAAAACATCTCGAGAAAATATTGTCTACAAAGGTGACTATAAGGTGGCGATGCTGGAAATGTCACCCTAGCAGTGGTCTTTACGGCAACGGCGCGGCAGAGGCTGTGGGACGGCGGTGCTCTCGCCTGCCCCATCCCTGCATTTTTTTTTTCTTTTTAAGTTTTTTGCTTTTTGTCTCTTTGCTTTATTTTTTCTTTTATTGAACTTAAATTTGAAAAGATACACAAAAGTCTAGACGTAATTCTGTATAAATAAATGAAAAATCACAATATGAATGAACCAAAAAAGAGTTAGACGAAAATTATAACATCGTCAATTTTAAGCAAGGCATGTATAGCGAGGGAGTTCTGCTAGTAAAGACAAAAGAGATATTCACATTGGGATGGAAGATAAGGGATCTGAAAAGTAAAGCAACACAGCCCATTTGTGTCCTGCAAAGTTTTGGTCTTCCTGGAATCTATTAAAGTTTCTTTCCCATTAGCTCTTTCACTTTTGCTACGCTCTCTAGACAAAGAAGGCACATGATATCCAGAAAAGTCGCTGGGGATATTCTCCAATATTAGGAAACAAGCACTTGTGGAGAAAAGGCATTTTGCTTTGATTAGTCTAACCTCATATGTGCATCCTTGAAAGTCTTCGTCTTCCTAGACTTCACAATTTGCTCTCTCCATTAGCTCACTATCACTTTGCTTCCCCATAACCCTTGTTGTTCTCCATAAACTACAGTGACTGATTCACCATGGCCATTGGAGAGATCTTTTTGGGTTCCTTCTTTCAGGTCCTGTTCGACAAGTTGGCTTCGATGGGAGTGGACTATGTGCAACAGGAAGGAATCAGCATCACTCTGCTCCATAAGTGTAAGGGGATGCTGGAAATAATCAATGCAGTGCTTGATGATGCAGAGGACAAGCAACTCAACGGTGAACGTCTAGCGAAGCTATGGCTGGACGATGTTAGGGACTTGGCCTATGACATGGAAGACTTGCTCGATGAGGTCGAGATCGAAGCCACTCAGGCCAAGTCGAAGGCAGAATCTAGCACAAGCAGAGGTCAGGTGAAAAGGAAGTTCCCTTTCTTTAGCCGACCATGCTCGCTCGTGTCTAAAACCAAGTTACAAGAGATCACCGGCAAGTTTGAAGAGATTCTCAAAAAGAAGGCTCTCCTAAGCTTGAAAGAGAATGTTGTGGACAGATCCCACTACACCAACAAAAGGCTCCCCAGCACTTCTCTGCCGGAGCCTCAGTTTTTCGGCAGGGAGAAGGAAGAAGCAGAGATACTCAAACTACTGACCGTTGAAGCCAAAAATGCCAATAGCCCGCTTAGCATAGTGTCCATAGTTGGGATGGGCGGTGTTGGAAAGACGGCCTTGGCTCAATGGTTGTATAATGATGCCAGAGTGAGTAGCTGTTTCGAGAGGAGAGCATGGGTATGTGTTTCAGATGTTTTTGATGTTCTCGACATAACAAAGACTATTTTGCGGTCAGTCACCGGAGAGCCCTGCGAAAACAAAGATCTTAACGAGCTTCAAGTAAAGTTGAAGGACAATCTATCCAGAAAGAAGTTTCTGGTGGTCTTAGACAATGTCTGGAAGGTGAAGTACGGAGAATGGACTTCCCTCTTAAAGCCATTTGAAGCAGGGGCCAAGGGAAGCAAGATCATCATCACGACGCGCAACAATCCTATTGTTTCCATAACAAGAGCTTCACCGTATCCTTTGAAGGAGTTGTCCCTTGATGACTGTACAAGCTTATTAGCCCATCATGCTCTAGGAGCAAGAAATTTTGAGAGGCACCGAGCTCTTGAAACAATAGGCAAGAAAATTGCTGAAAAATGTAGAGGTTTACCTTTGGCAGTGAAGATGTTAGGCGGTCTCCTACGTAATAGAGAGAATCCTGACGAATGGGAAGCTATCTTAAATAACAAAATATGAGACGTCGCGATGGGAGAAAATGATGAGGTTCTTCCGGCTTTGAAATTGAGCTATATTCATCTTCGTTTTTATTTGAAGAGATGTTTTGCGTATTGCGCAGTATTTCCGAAGGACTACGAATTCAAGAGGGACAAGCTGGCACTGTTATGGATAGCAGAGGGATTTTTAGATGGACGAAAAGCAAGAGACAATATCTTGAGATTAGGACGGAATTACTTCAATGAGTTAGTATCCAGATCCTTTTTTCAGCAATCCAGTGTTGACAAGTCGAAGTTTTTGATGCACGATCTTTTGAATGACCTAGCAAAGTCAATTGCGGAGGCAACATGCTTTACTTCTGGGGAGTCTCAGTTAGTGGGTGACAAAGATGATGGCTCTTTTGAAGAGAAAGCTCGTTATGCATCATTTTTTAATGTCTCACCATTTGTTACATCAAAAAGCTTGAGAGCATATGCTGGAATGAAGGTACTAAGAAGTTTAATGCTGCTAACTGTTCAAAGAACAAAAATCTCTATTTCCAAAAAGGTGCTGCATGAGTTGCTAACAAACTTGAAGTACTTGCGGGTGTTATCATTATGTCATTGTGACATCATAGAGGTACCAGATTGTGTAGGTGATTTAAAACATCTCCGATATCTTAATCTCTCGTACACTAACATCATAAGGTTACCAGAGTCAATTGGCGCCTTGTGCAAATTACGAGCTTTGATCTTAAGAGATTGTTGGCGCCTTTCTATGTTGCCTCCAAATATCACAAATTTGATCAGGTTACAGTTTCTTGACATTAGAAATACAGGGAGTCTAAAAGAGATGCCATTGAGTATAGGTAATTTGAATAATCTCATTATCTTGTCCAAGTTTGTGGTAGGACCAGAGAAAAGGTCACAATTAAAGGAGTTAAAGAACTTGCCACATCTTCAAGGAGAGTTAATCGTATCTGAATTACAAAAGGTGGAAGAAGTTAGAGATGCTAATTTGTTGGGAAAGGAGGGCCTTAGCAACTTAATCTTGCTTTGGGATAAAGATTTTAGAAATCTCCGGAATAATGAGCGCGAAGAACGGGTGCTTCGCTCTCTACAACCTCACACTAATCTTGAAAATCTCACTATCTCGTACTATGGCGGTGGACTATTCCCGTCATGGTTAGGTGATCCATCTTACTCTAAGATAGTGTCTTTGTGCTTGCGTAGATAGTGTCTTTGTGCTTGCGTGATTGTCCTAATGTTAAATTGCTGCCATCACTTGGACAGCTACCTTCACTTAGAGAATTATCTCTTGAAGGTTTAAATGCAGTAAGCATGATAGGCTCTGAATTTTATGGAATTGAACGAACTTTTCCATCCTTAAAAATTTTGACGTTCGAACGTATGTCAGCATGGAAAGATTGGTCTCATTCTGCCGTAGACCAAGAAAAAGAAGTACCATTCTCCTGTCTTCGGCATCTTGTTGTCCAGAGATGTCCTGCGTTGCTCGGGACATTGCCTTGTCAACTTGATCATCTCATAAAGCTCAAAATTCGTGATTGCCCGCATTTGAATAATTCAACTGGCGTGGTTTGTCTTCCATCTCTCCATGAGTTATATTTTGAGGATTGTAACAAGAAGATCTTAAAAAGTTTCGTCAACCTAACTTCTCTTACCGTACTGAAAATTAAAAATCTTGCGGAGCTTGTTTGCTTTGATCCTGGGTTTATGAGCTGCATGGTTAAGCTAAAGGAACTTCATATAAGAAGCTGTGACAAGCTAACCTACTTGTGGCAAGATGGAAATGAAACGAGAGATCTTACTTGCCTCCAGAGTATAGTCATTCAATATTGTCCTCAATTCACATCTTTTGTAGCAGGAGAAGGAGAGATGGAGCTATTGTGCAACCTTGAAAGGATGGAATTGAGGAATTGCATGAGTTTAGAAAGGCTTCCAAGCAAGATGTACGCACTTAGACGTCTGAGCATTTCGAATTGTCCAAAAATCATGGGACTAACCATTCCTCCAGATGACCCAGCAGCAATAACACAATGTCACAACTTGAATATCGGCCGATTAGTCATCATGATTCTCAGGTATCCTTTTCGTTTGCCAAGGGTACGCTTGCTGCTCTGAGAGAACTTTGTATTTGGAATTGCGAGGGACTGGAGTCGCTGGAGGAGATCACTGTAATAGAATCGTTGAAATCTTTGAATATTGCCCGCTGTAAGAATCTGGGAAGCCTACCGCAGTGCCTTCACACGCTCGCCCATCTCGAGTGTTTGGAAATAAATAATTGTCCAACACTGGAGATAAAGGACTTCCCTCCCCTTCCCCTTACCCTGTCGTTTCTTAGACTAAGGAATTGTCCGAAGATAAAGTCTATTGCCAGACGTAACATTGCTAGCTGTAACAATCTCACTTATTTGGAAATAAGTCACTGTCCAGAATTGGAGGTGGAGGACTTCCCTCCCCTTCCCATCACCCTATCGAAACTTGGACTTTATAGTTGTCCGAAGATAAAGTCTCTACCAAATGAGTGGCATCGTCTTACATCCCTCCGGTTTCTAGAAATTACGGGTTGTGAAAATATTAAATGCTTCCCCAAAGGAGATTTGCCTCCCAATTTGCGATCGTTTTCAATTTGGTGGTGCGAGAACCTAAAGCAACCGGTGAGAGAATGGGGCTTACCCATGCTCACTTCCCTCGAGAGACTAGGAATTGATGGAAGAAGCATGGGAGGGGAGGGAGAGAAGGTGTGGTTTCCTTCGGAGGAGGAGGACGAGGATGATGCGTGGAGTCTTCTCTTCCCTTCTTCTCTAACCCATCTTTCCATAGCAAATATGAGGAAGGTGGAAAGATTATCGACCGGTCTTCGCAACCATCTCTCCTCTCTCCAATATTTATGGATTGTAGATTGGCCGAAGTTGAGGTACTTGCCAGAGGATGGCCTCCCTCCCTCCCTCCAAGAATTGGAGATAGCAAGATGTGAGATTCTGAAAGATCGATGCTCAAAACTCACTGGCCACTATTGGCCCGTCATCCAAGACATCCCTCTCATCGAGATTGAGGGCGTTCGGATCCAATGAAGTAAAATCGATCATGCCCGACCCGTGATAAAAGATTTGTCTCCGTTGACTGCTTTTTCTTCCTCAGGTAATGCTTCCAACTTCTTTCGTTCTTTCGCTTTCATTTGTTCAATTGCCGGGATTCATTCTTCGATGCACAGTAAGTTTTCTAGGGTTAAGGTAAGTTTTTGGTTTTCAAGGCATCAACTTCGATTCCGCTCCCTCAATTCGATGCGTAATACAGACGGATATTTTCCCAAGGAGATGTGTCCCAAATGGACATTTGGGAGGGTGTTCTCGTTGGGTTGGATCAGCTCTGTTTTGTTGGACAATAAACTGTAGGACGAAATGCTCAGTGTTGCCTCTTGATGACATATCAGATTTGCCCAAAAAATTTGCTTATTTTTTCACTTGAGTGACCCACCATACAAACTGTGAATGGAAATGCACTATGCTTTGCATGAGAATCACCAACAATCATAGCGTTCCACAATCAAATTCCTCTGCATTTTCAGCGATTGTTGTATGTTCGCTTCCCAACGTCTTTTTCTTGTGACCTAAGCTCATTCACTATGGTTGTTTTGTAGATACCACTGTAATCTGTATTGGCAAAATCTCTTGGGAGGATCATGTGCGAATGCAGCTGAGGTCGGACTAATGTAGTCAATTATACGTGCCATTTTTTCCAATTCAACAAAAGCACGAAAGAACAAGCTTTTAATCTTTATTTGGTGCACCGATATGTTCTGAATTATCTTCAGTGGCATTTCTAAATAAGAATTATCTCTTTCAACATTTTCAGGTCGATATTCAAAATAAAAAGCTTTCTTTCTTCCGGTAATGGATTGAACAAGACTGCCAATGAGGTCATTATCGTCATAGAAGCTTATAGAACTCCGAGAGATCGGAGGCCTTACCCTGCTGATCAAGTTGTGAGAGACATCACCGGAAAGTTTGCCATTGTGCTCTTCCACGGCTCTCCAAAAACCACTTTCTGGCGGCTGTAAGTAATAATAATTTTCATGGTTTCATTCTGGGGATTATCTATCTCCATCTCTCCCTCCCCCTGCTATCTATCTAATTCTTTCTGTTCTCTTAATCACGCAGGATGTTGAAGGAAGCGTTCCATTCTTCTGGGGAAGTGATTCTGAAGGCAATCTTTTTCTTTCGGACGATGCAGAGGTCGAGAAGAAGGGCCGTGGGAAATCTTTCGCACCATTTCCTAAAGGTAATTATTTTCACAGATTGTTGATGCAGCGTCACTGGAGATTCCTCTGTGCGTTGGAACGTGAAATGTAAGGATGGATGAGCTCTGCTGATATTAAGTAGAGTTCAGAGGAGAATGTTGTTATGTTGTTGGGTAACAACATATTGGAAAAATTGGTTTCGAACCTAAATTTATAATCTAAGGTTTAAAGGGTATTCTTTATCTTTATGCATGTTTTGACATGTGCATTTTCACCTACAATGTTGCTCTTCCAATGGTTTTTGAGCGCCAAATCATTACGACTTAACGTTGCCTTCTTTGAAAAACTCAGGATGCTGCTCTACTAGCTCTGGAGGTTTGAGGAGTTATGATAACCCACTGAATGAGATGAAGCGGGTTCTGGCCTTTTGTGCAGCGCTACATTCAAAGTGGATGCACAGACTAACAAGGAGTCCAGCATGCCTAGAGTTGGGAGTGCTACGAACTAGTCCTGGGTATTGAATGGTCTTCTGTTGCTTATAACCCAGTCATTCTATCTCATACATCGACAACTTTCATCTCTAATGGGTCGGTTGCCCTATGTTGAGAGTTTAAGATGACATTGTTTTATACAGCTGTATATGTCGTTTATAAAACTAAGCCTCTACAGAACCTGATCATGCTATGTGCAATATTATCTTTCTGGCATTTCATTTAGTCATCATGCAGAGTTTATTCAATGTAATGTTTTTTTGCTTAGACGTCTATTGTGTGACTGTTATC